GGCACCCCCCCCAGGGGGGGGGGGGGGATGCCGCTTGGGGAGCCTCACGCTGGGCTGCGCGGGGGGCTTCAGGACCCTCTTTTGTTTCGGGCCCCATCTGAACTTTGCCGGGGGGGCGCTTTTAGGACCCCCCCCCTCTTTTCGTGGGAACTCCTCTTCCGAGTTTTGCTTGGGGGCTTGTAGGACCCCCCCTTCCGAATTTGACTGGGTGACTTGTAGGAACCCCTCCTTCCGAGTTTGACTGGGTGACTTGTAGGAACCCCCCCTTCCGAGTTTTCCTTGGGGGCTTTTAGGACCCCCCCTCTTTTCGGCTTTTGCTTGGGGGCTTGTGGGAACTCCTCTTCCGAGTTTTGCTTGGGGGCTTGTAGGACCCCCCCCCCTTCCGAATTTGACTTGGTGCCTTGTAGGACCCTCCCCTTCCGAGTTTTCATTGGGTACTTCTAGGCCCCCCCCTCCGAGTTTTGCTTGGGGGCTTCTAGGACCCCCCCCTTCCGAATTTTGCTTGGGGGGAGTTACGACCCTCTTCCGCCCTCGGCGGGGGGGGGGAAAGAGCCGGGGGCGGGGGGGTCTTGCTGGGGGGCGGAACATGTTGGTTGGGAGGGGGGTCTTCCTGGTGGGGACGGCTCGTAGGCGAGGGAGACCCCTGTGACTTTTTTTTGGGGGGGGAGAGTTTAACCAGAGGGGCTTTCCTCGACCCCTGAGCCCTAAAAGCCCCCCCTCCCGCGGGCTGGACACCCCCCCCAGATATCCTGGGGTGGGGTGGGGAGGCCTCGGGGTGGAGATTTGCAGCGCCCGGGAGAAGTTTGATGGAAACTCCAACTGCAGACAGACAGACGCACACCGAGAGACCTGCAGTATGTTCCCCCCTCTCTATGTACAGGCCCACCAAACGCGTGTCCAAATGCACGCCTCTCCGCTGCCGGAGCTTGCAGGCAACCCACACGCGCGCGTGCGGCTCTGGAGCGTGTGTGTATTCCCCCCCCCCCACCGCGGTTTGTGGGCTGCAACAGCTGATGGGGGGAGGAGAGAGCTCTGGGGCCCCCCTCCCTTCCGGGAGACCAGCGCCTCGCCTTCTCCTTTGCAGCTGAACTCGGGGTGTGGGGGGGGGGAGAAGAGCTTTTGGGGGAGTTTATTTTGGTCTCTTGCTGGGTGGTGGTGGGGTGGTGGTGGTGGAGTTGTTGCAGGCTGCCTGGGAAGATGCTCGGCTTCTGGAGCTGCAGAGAGACTCTGCCGTGTTTGCCTACTTGGGGGGGTGTGGGTGGG